TCTTGATGTATATATTTGGGTATATGTACATGTGCGAGTATATGGGCATATAAAATTATCTAGATTTCAAAATATTTATATCTTAGAAATCTTCTTTGAAAAATGTACCTTGAACCAGCCCTGACTCATCCATCAGTAGCCATGCTGTGGTGGCAGCTCACATAGAAGAACTAGCAGGACCTACAACCAGAATACACAACTATGTACTGGGGCTTTGGGGAGAAAAAGAGAAAAGGAAGATTGGCAACAGATGTTAGCTCAGAGTGAAGGTTTCCCAGCCAAAATATATATATATCTTAAGCTTAAATCTTAAAAAAAAATGACCTGCTTATTTTTCTCTGATGTAGTGGAGAAAGAAGGCTAAGTTTGAATTCCAGCGGTGCCTTGTGCTAACAGTATGATCTTGAGCAATATGGTTAAACTCTGAGTCTTTTTATCTCTATTGTACAAATGAAGATATAACCTGCAGTCAAAGGAGCATTGTGAAGCTTAAATGACTTAAACTATCACACTGCCTGGCACATTAGGTACTTAAGACATAGTCATTGTTGTTGTTGCTGCTATTGTTATTATTATTATACTTGCCTTTCCCATCCCTTTCTCATTGCCCCCTCCTTTTCTCTTCTTTCTCCCAAGTATCTTACCTTACTCTCTAACTTTATCTTTCAAGGCACTGTCAGTTTATCTCTGCATCAATATACACCTGTCTCATCTCTTCTACTATTCTGTGAGTGATGTTTAAGGAAGATTGGACTGACAAGGGTGTGCAAGGTATAGAAACAAAATGGTACAGGAGAGAAAAGTAAAACAAGAGAGTGCAAGAGAACCAGAACCAGCCAGCTCTTTCCCTTCCTCCAATTCCTCACTCTCCCCTCCTCCCCACAGAAAGAACAAAAAAAGAGGAAGGAAGACCAGTAAAGGAAAAGATATTGTCAGAAGAATGGGAGTGGAAACGTTGGATAAAGCACTATCTCACACTGGAAAGGCTCAGAAGGAAGACACAAACCTCTAGGACCAGAGTGGGTGGAATGAGAGAGATAGATGGTTTTAGAAAAGATAACTAACGAGTCTCTGATAACTCTCATTTTCTGGGCCTTGGTGAACTTTGCCTAAGCTTCAACTAAATGGAAATATAAATAGCTGAGAAAGAAGCCAGTAGATAGGAACTGACATAATGGACTGTATTGACTCTCTGAGAGATATAAGGGACCTTCTTAAAAGCATAATATTTTACCTGATCATTTGTCAGGCTTCCTCTGGGTGAGTGAGCTCCTTTGGGGAAGGTAAGTGGATTGGCTAATCTTAGTGTTTTGTTTAAAGTGCACCCTGCATTGTACTAGAAATCAGTTAGCTTTACTGAGCAGACAGGGAGGGAGAAGAACATAAGCATCCACACCCCTCTTCCTTCCTCCTGAGGGGCCTCACTAGCTAAGTGCCCAACTGAAGATCCAAGACCTACTTTCCTCTCCCCTCCACCTGCCTCTCTAACACATCACCTTCTCCATCAGGGTGCTTGGTTTAAGGAACTAAATCATTCTTATATTCCTGTTCTCACAGGGTGGAACTAGTCCCCAGAACTTCCAGGCATTTACCCAATGGACACCACCTCCTGTTAAAATCCCTCACTCCACCCAGGTTGTCTACCCATAGATATACCCTCAGATCCATGAACTTGCCTCTTCCACCTCTGTACTCAGTGCTGGGATTTCCCTTACTGTCCCAGCCCATCATGAGCTGCTTCTCTCTCTCATTATTGTCTTAACCAATAGTTCTTTAGTGGACATGGAGCTTGTTCAAAGACACAGATGCAAAGGTCCACACTCAGAATTTCCAGGAATAGAGGCTGAGAATCTGCACTTTCACAAGTGCACGACTGACTGTGATGTACAACATTATTTGAGAACTATTGGACTCTGTGTAATTAAGACTTACTATAATTAAGTATTATTAAGACTTATTATAATTACTATAATGTGTGTTAACGTTTCATGAGTTGGGTCTAGCCTCCAAAAGTAAACCATGATCTCCTTCTAGACTGGGGCCGTGACTTATTTTTCTTGATATTTCTCTTCTCTTCTTGAGCATAAGAAAAGATGCTTAGAAAATGTCTGTAGATGACACTATGGTAATTTGGGTTTTGTCAATTTTATTGGATAACAAGTGGAAGATATGCTGGCTTTACATGACTTCATCTTAGTAAAGTCACAAAGCCTACCAATCTCTAAGCACTCGCTCTTGAAGATTTACCCTAGGGATTGGAATTTTGAGAACTTCCCAGCCAGCTTTCCCTCCCCAAGCTGTCCATACTCCCCACATCCAATATAATGATGTTAGTACTCTCTCACTTCCAACAGCAACTTACTCCTGATACTTCTGATGCCACCCCAGTGAAACAATTTCTTGGGTTCAAAATTAGTGTATGACAAAGGTTCTCACCAAAGTCCTCCATTCTCTCCTAATACTTCATCTCCTAAGAGAAGAGAAATCTAGAGAACAGGAAAAAGACGACATGATCAATGGATATAAAGATCCCAAAGCATATAAGAAGCTGCCTTTGGTTGGAAACATACCAGATACATCTAGCGACATGACTAAAGTGGTTGATCATGGAAACCTATGAAGAAGGAGGACACAGTGTTTTGGAAAATAATTAATTCTGAGGTCATATTCCTATATAGGAGTTAATGGAGTTAATTTTGTGGATGGGAGTTAAATGATTTCAAGGTAATTCTGCATATGTAATAGAAGTCTCGAAGTCTGAGCTGATGATCACGTTTTTCAGCGAGAACATAAGATGACTGATCATGTAGACAGTTTTTTCTGGCTCAGAGAAGACATAGAACTATGACTCATGCTTTCATTTAGACTATGGCCTCCCCGTGGATAAGAACAATTCCATACAAATCCATCTGTACCCAAGAGAGAGAAAAATCTACAAAAATGTCGAGTCGTTTTTTTCTTTCACTTTCCTGACATTTAGTCATTATTTTAGGTAGGCAGAGGGGCTGGTGGCTATTTGCTATTAAAATACTTTCAATACACAAATTCCCATAAGTTGACTCAAGATCTCAGTTCTGGGTTCCAGGTGACCGGCTGTTCATGAAAATTTACCAGTTCTAAATCCTACCCATCCTCTAAGATTCAACTCAGGCTTTGCTTCCCCTTCAAGATTGAGTCCAGCACCAATCTTGACAAATATAATCACATCCTCTCTTTTCATTCTCACTTCCAAATCCCCAAATAAAGGCCAATTTTCTTGCTCTTCCCTGCACTCAATTTACCATTTCTGCCTCCATTTCTGCCTACACTCTTTTCCCCACCTCTGTCCCTCTCTAAATTCTACCTATGCTCCAAGGCTTGGTTCAGGGAATGGCTCTTCGATGGGGCTTTCTCCAACAATGTGTCAAACTAACCCCCTCATTCTTCCAAATGTCACAGCACTATGTCAGCTGTACAGGTTAGCCCTCTGTTCTTCATTTCCAGGTGTTCATGTTTTGTCTCTTCAGATTGACCGCAGATGAATCTGGATTTTGATATCAGACAGATAGCCCTCTTCTACTTAGTAGTTTTATGACCTTGAGCAAACGATGCCTCAGTTTCCACTCTATAAAATGTGGATAATGTAACACTTACCTCAGAAAGTTACAGTGAAAATTGATTAAAGGAACTGGCCACTAAATGTTAGATATTATTAACGTTATACAGTGCCTAATGCAGGGATGTCTGGCTCAGTGTCACAGTAGTCTGGCCTCACAGTGCAAAATGAAGCTCCTAACTATGATGACCTTTCTCTCCAGCATCTCATCTAATCTATGAACCTTCTGTAACCTTCTCAAAGCTCATAGTGAAAGAAAGTCTCTTTATATACATCACACCCACTTATTTGTATGTAATACAGATACCCATATACGTCTCCCTGCTTTCTGAAATTAAATGTTTAAAATGAAATTCAAGTCATCAAACAAAATGAAACTGGCTGGCTCCTGAGGAATATGGGCACATCACTGTGGCAATTCCTTGCACCTACTGCAAGTACCACTTGGGCAGCTTCCCGAGTTATAATCCTGGAGATGTTGTGACTCTCCTTACCCATCACACGGAGATTGGAAACATAAATCTTTACTTGTTCAGGTCTGGCTTTATTTGTAGGCAGCCTAGGAGATGTGTATTGCAGCTTCTGTCCAAAACACCTGCCTCGGTTGCCTGTGGAGGTGACTTACGTTATTGCTATGGGAGACTTACTCCTCTGGGATAGGGCTGCAAGTAACTTTATCAAAGAGGAACCACCTATGGTGCTGTTATGGACTAACTTGTGTCCCCCCAAAGTTCATATGTTGAAGCCCTAACATCCAATGTGCTATATTTGGAGATAAGGACTTTAGAGAGTTAATTAAGGTGAAATGAGGTCACAAGAGTGGGGCCTAATCTAATAGGGCTGGTGTCCTTCTAAGAAGAGACAGACACCAGGGATGCCTGTGCACAGAGAAAATTTAGCCATACAAGGACACTGAAAGAAGGTGGACTTCTGCAAGCTAAGGAAAAAGGCCTCTGGAAAAACCCTGCTGCCGGCACCTTCATCTTGGACTTCCAGGCTCCAGAACTCTGAGAAAACAAATTTTTGTTGTTTAACCCACCCATTCTGTGGTATGTATTTTGTTATGGCAGCCCTAGCTGACTCATACAGGTGCAAATCCCACAAAATACAAATTCTCCTTGTCAACAGGAATGTCCCCAAATAGACCAATGAGTGAGACCCCTGATAGTGACAAAGGAGAGCAGAAAATAGAAGTGGGACTCAAAACAGGCCAGTTTAGCCAGAAAAAGGGTAGTGAGAGTAGATGGGGAAGAATGTTTCAGCATAGAGTGCTACCAAGGGAAGGCAGGTAAGAACATGGTGCTGGAGTGGGCAGCCCTGGGCAGCTCTGGCTGGGAGGCACTGTGGGGCTTCTGCAATGACAGAGTCAGAGGCGGTAGGCTCCAGACACCCATTTCTCTTCCAGCTTACCCTGGCCTTGGCAACGTGGTACCAAGCGACTAGAGTCCCACTGGGCTGCTTCCCCCTCACTGTGACTCTTACGTCCCAAAGTTCTTGTTACTGAAGCCCAATTTCCAGGAACTGGCTCTGATCTGATTCATGGGCTGCACATAAGCTGCACATTTCAGGTAATTAACTGTGGTGACCGGAAGTGTTGTGTTGGCATATCTATTCAGTGGGCTGTCTCTGCACACTTTGAGCCATGCTCTCTGCCTTCTCTTGACATTTTCAAGAAAAACACAGCCAGCAATGCTTCTGGGGATGATGGGGTCAGGGCTTGTAGGGGTTGGGACTTAGAGAGCACGGGGCTCAGATAATTTTTTAACTGCTTTCATTCCACCTCTGCATTTCCAAGTGTACCTAAACAGCACCCAAGTACCTCTCCCACAGAATAGTTCTGGTCTGGAGGTCCTGAGACCTGAGTTCAAAACATATCTGTATGAATGACTTCTAAGTCGACTGCTTTTTAACACCCTAAGTTACCAATCTTGCAAGTCCCTGTTTCTTTCTTTATAAAGCATGAGAAAGTTAGGTGGTGAGGTGAACAGAGAGCACCAGACCAGAGTCTGGAAATCTGCATTCTGAGCCCTGTGCTTTATGAGCTCTGTGGCCTTTGGCATCCATGCTCCTTTCCTCTCTAGGTCTCAATTTCCTTTTCTGTAAATAACGGGGATAAACTTTACTATCTATAAAGTCCCTTCCTGTGCCAGAATCCTGAGAGGCTATGAAAAAAAAGGTTGAAGGCAAAACCAGACTGTGTGTGTGTGTGTGCGTGCGCGCGCATGCACACACGTGCATGCACAGCCCTGTAGCTCCACGAGCGGTAAATGAGCAACGCAGGATGTTCACTGAAACAGTAGAATCCTTCTTGCTTGATTTGCTTGACCATGGGCAGCACTCACTGCTACAGCACCTCTACTCACACACTAAATAATGCCAACCAAGAAAACGTGTAACATTAGATTAAGAGAGAAAATATACATGTGGAGTGGAGGAAAGCCCACTCAGAAAGGCTACTTGGAGTAGGTAGGCCCTAAACTGCGTATGCCAGAAAAAAGAAAAGAAACCACCCCATTCACCCCTCTGGGCTGCCCTGAAATGCCAGGGCACCACACAGTCATCCTGAGAACTCACAGCCACACAACGGGCTGCATTCACTGCTTCTGAGTCTTCTGTCCTCCCGCGTGCTTTGGCGTTAAGATACGATGCACATGCCAATCCTGAATTAGAGTCAACCTGACACAGCATCCGCTGTAGATTAAATAAAAATTCACTAGGTAAAAGCCAAATGTGATAAACTTTCCCACAACAAGAGGATTTGGAAAAGTATATTAAAATGGGGGAAAAAAAAAGAAAAAAGTCCTAGCCAAAACAAGGCCGCCATTGAAATTTACCAAGTGGCTCCTTTAATTAAGGACTGTCTCCTTAAATTACATTCATTTCTCTTACCCCTTTCAGGGCAGTCCAGGGTGAATAATATGTTTGTTTCTGGCTGAAGAGGTGCCAAGTTTAAAGGTAGTTTTTGGTTAATAAAACTGGTCTGAGCTATCAGCCAGCAATCCTGTCTCGTTTTAGAGACCATGAGAAACTGGTTTAACTCTGATCAAGAACGAGAGCACATACTGATCCACAGGAACTTTCATTTGAAAGCATATTTAAAGCAAGTAAGAAAAAAGAGTAAATGACATTGAGATCTGCTTTTCTGTTCCTGGAGGCTTCTCCTACCTGACGTAACACGGTACTAACGCATGGCTCTCACTGCAGTCCAGGGCAACCTGCGCACGGCTTCCAGCCAGAGCATTCTAGAAACTAATTGGTTTTCTTTCCTACACAAGAACTAGCAGTAGCCTCTCATTATCTATTAGGAAAAAAAAAGCCTCACTCTTGATACTGATAGTTAGAACCTCAAACAATCAATTGCTTTATCTTCCCTGTCCCCATTTCCCCGCCTCCTAGGTCAGCCCCACTTACTCTCAACGTGGCCCTTGGACGCCAGTTTGGAAAACATTTCATTGCTTCCACCAATCTGGATCCTAATGATTCCTACAAGGCCACTTTAAGGGCAGCTTGTTCCATGAATTCTTCAACATTAACCTCTTCCTTCCCTCAAAATTATGAGGATCTTGTTAGCCCTTTGAGGACTAATCTGACTGGTTCTCGTTTTTCTCCAGCACCTAACCTAGAGTTAGACTCTCAATGCGTTCCCCAAATTTTCCATATGAAGAAAGAAATTGAAGTTGGTTCTTAGAAGACCAGCGTGCTGTATTTAACTTTCACTGTGGTCTAAATTGACTTAACTCAGTGATCTTCTCTCTTCTTTTCCTCAGATGTGTGATGTGGTCCCAATCTCGTCTTCCGTGGGTACCTCTGAAGTTTGGTGCTGCATTCAGAGGGCGAGGGGTGGAGCCAAACTGTGTTGGCTCGTCTTCCACAGCTTGGAATTTCCTAGCTATGTGACCCTGGGGAAGTTACTTAACTCCTCCATGTTCTCAGTTTCTTCATCACAGGCTCGTTGTGAAGGTTAAATACATCAATACATGTAAACTGCTTTGAACCTTGCCAGGTACACAAAATGCCAAATTAACATCGACTGTTATTATGCTTCAGCCACATTGGCCTCCTGTTACCTACAATACACCATACTCCTCTCTACCTCAGAACTTTCACACATGTGACTCCTCTCTACCTGGAATCTTCCTTGCTCATTCTTTTCCTTCAGGTCCCAAGTTAAACGGCACTTTGTCAGGGAGGCCATTCCTGACCCATCCAAGTTCCAGGTTAAGTCTCTTCTAATACGTTCCTGTAACTCCCTGCATATCAGCCCAATACTAATCACATTTGCAATTTCTTGTTCAATGACCATCTTTCAGGCTAGACTACACACTCCAAAGGTAAGAAGGGGATGCATTTGTCTTATTCATTCTTGGACACCCAACACCCAGCACAGAGATTACAAATAAATATTTACAGGGTAAATGAACCAACGGACTGTAAAGAGGGAATTGGAGAAGGTTCGTGGAGGTGACAGTCCCAGACTTTGGGACAAGGTTACATCCAATAATAAAATTAAAAGACACAAAATAAAGTAGATTAGATTAGCCACCTGGAGACCAGACAGCAAATGAGTGGTTAGGGAGATGGAGAAACATCTAAGGCCCAGACAGGTTCGCCAGGATGTACTGGCCTTTAGCGTTAGTTCTGCAAAACAAGGGAGCAGAAAGCTCAGCGGTGCATTGAATAATATTTTTGCCACCTGTAAGAAATCATCATGGCATGTATCCCCAAAGCCTCCCTCTCCAAAGGGAGCAGAGGATCCAAGTTGCCTGGATAATGTTAGTAACGCCTCCTTTTGGTACATGCCTGAAGAACAGTGGTTCTCCCATGATGTTGCTTTTGCTCACTTCTTTATTTGGCTGAGGGTGGGAGGAGCCAAGTAGGTTAGCAACACATGCCCAAGAAGGAGGAGAGAGGAAAAGATGTGTTCATGGCTAGCACACAGCCCCTTCCTTCCCCTAATCCTCCTTCAGAGTAGAACATAGCTCAGCATTAAATATTAAATAAGTGAACTTGCTCAGTGCTCCAATCACCCACAGCACAGCTTCTACAACACACTCACACATTTCGAAGCCTCCTAATTAACCAGAGGAAGCTAGAACTTCATGGCGTTGTAGACAGCTCTAACGAGCTTGTTTTACAGGAGTTAAAGAAATGTGTTGATTGGAAAGTCGGGAGCACTAACGATAAAAGACAATGGACCCAATACATGGAGGCCATTCTGTCTGTCCTGGAAGGAGAAAGAAGTTAGGGAAGTAAAGTTGGTCTACTGGGAGACTGGTGCCTTTCTCCAGAATGACAGCCTCAAAACTGACTTCATCGAACTGTCTTTACAGACTCTTATTTGGGCAGATCAGGAAGGTCCCTACACCTGCGTTCTAGCTTTGGTTTCTCAGACTCTGCCAGGTGGGACAGGTCCTGAGGAGCGATGGGACGAGGAGTGCAGGGAGAAAGGGAGCAGAGAGGCCTGTGACAGCCTTCATGCCCGTGCAGAGAGGAGAGAATCCGTCCCCCTTGTTTCTTCACAGTGGGAAAGAAGGGAGAAAGATCTGCAAATTAATCCATTGTGACAACCTTTGTGAAGAACCTCACTGTTTGATCTTGAAAAGATTTCATAATTCTTTTGATGGCTTTGAGAAGAGAAGGGGTAAAAAGTTAACTTCCTTTTGGATTCTCTTATCAAGAGTAAATAAAGTTCAACTTTGCATGTTCTCTAGTTAGCAAGCTCCCCTTCCTGGGACCCAGAGATCAAGTTTGTGATTGAGAGAATTCAATAAACATGAGGAAATGTGACCCATTTGGGAACAAAGATCCCAATGTGCTCATCTCCAAAGGGAATCTGACTCTCCCCTGAAACTGTCATAAGCCTCGGCCAGAGAAATATTCCCACCTCTGCAGGCAGGCGCTGAGCAGTTGGGTGAGCCGGGCCTGACCCTAGGATTGCAGTATGCTTCCCTTTCCAAGAAAATGACCTGGGCAGGAAGACGAGATAAATGAAGCCCCCGATGAATGAGCAAAGGGAAGTTAGCTGGCTTTCCAAACTGGGTTCTGCCAGTGTCCCTCTAAGTGACCTTGTCTAAATTATATCTTCTTTCTAGGCCTCAGGTTCTCATTCTGTACAATGGGATAACAACTTCACTCTTACCTTACTCACTGGTTCAGCATTCAAGATGCCAACATTTCACCTGCCATCAAGCTACACAGCTGCAAGCTACCAGCTTCTAAACAGAGGGCTCTGGCCTTCGGTCCCAGGTGGTACAGTATCAAATGACTGGTATTTCCACTTGGTGCTTGCCTGAAAAAGGAAGTAAACTGGGGCTGGCGCCATGGCGTAGTGGTTAAGTTCGTGCACTCTGCTTTGGTGGCCCACGGTTCACAAGTTCTGATCCTGGGCATGGACCTAGCACTGCTTATCAAGCCACGCTGTGGCAGCATCCCACATAAAGCAGAGGAAGACTGGCACAGATATTAGCTCAGCCACAATCTTCCTCATGAAAAAAAGGAAGTAAACTTTTTATTCAAATAGCCTATAAAAAGACAAAATATTTCCAATAAAAACTGTAAAAATCTTTTAAATTTTATCCTCGGTATATGCATTATCTACTCAGAAATAATTATTTATATTTTGAAAATGTAAGCAACAATTTGGGAGCTTTTCTACTAATTTTTAATGTGTTGTGTGTCAAAGTTTAACTGTATGCATCTATTTTGATTAGATTTGTCTTTCGTCATTTATCAGCATTCTCTTCCTTTATAATCAATAATCTTCCCCAAGACCTTGTACACTCCAGGGGCTTCTACTGCCCCATGTGGTGGAATGTTCCTTCCACTCTTCTTCCGTCGGGGTCTTTACCTGTTAGCAAAATGGTCTCTTCTTAGCTTTTGTACACTGAGAGAAAGAAAGGCTTGCTTTTACTTTTGTAAGTTTCTGGCTCTCATCTCCTGCTTCCTCATATATTATATTCAATTCAGTTCAATTTAACCAACATTTATTGAGCCCCCAATATGTACCAGGAACTTCGCTGGCACTGGGGGCTTCCAAGATGCGTCAGGCACAGCCCAGCCTTCCAGGTGCTGATAGCCTGGTGGAGGAAGTGTCTATCACAGACCATTCGTCCAGCTGAAAGGGCTTTTGGCATCACTTCCTAGAAATCCCTTCATTTTACAGATGCTGTTACTAAGATCCAGCAAGCGAAGTGACTCACCCAAGTTCTACCTTCCCAATGGCCGAGGAAGGACCGGAGTTTAAGTCCCATGGTTCAGAGTCTAGGGTTTGTTCCACCATATGCTAGTAGAGGAGTGAAGACAGAAAGAAAAATAAAACAAAAATCCTCTGCTGTTGCTCTACCTAGTAAGGAGAGAAATGTGACACGAATCTCTGTTCTATAGATCTGATAATCAGGATAAATCACTAAGAAGTAATTTAAAAATGCATAAACTTTTTAAACTCAATATTTCATAACCTAAAAATTTGTATATGACATTTAGGAACTTTGACACTATTTGATCCAGGCAAATATTTAATTCTCCTAATCCCACTATTTCCTGCCTTATAACCCTCTTCATTTGTTCTTAAAGTTGAATGTAACTCTAAGTCAGGGATCTAGCCAGATTCAACCTTTTCTGGTTTGAAAATATTTTTAATCTTAGGTTGCAAACATTATAAATTACTTATTTTTTTATTTTACTTACTATTTTATTGAGATATAATCGATATAGAAAAAACTGCACATATTTAATGTATACAATTTGATGAGTTTAGTCATATGCATACGCCCATGACACCATCACCATATCCATCATCTCCAAAAGTTCCTTATGTTCCTTTTTTTGGTTTGTTTTTTGTAGTAAAACACTTAGTATGAGATCTACTCTCTTAAAACATTTTCAGGTGCACAATACTGTATTGTTAACTACCGGTACAATGTTGTACAGCAGATCTCAAAAGTTTACTCATCTTGTATAACTGAAACTTTATACCAACTGAATAATAATTCTCCATTTCCCCCACCCCCAAGCCCCTGGTAACCACCATTCTCTTCTCTGCTTCCGTGAGCTTGACTAATTTAGGTACCTCATAGAAATGATATTATGCAGTATTTATCTTTCTGTGCCTGGCTTATTTCATTTAGTGTAATGTCTTCTAGATTCAACCATGTCGTTGCAAATGGCAGGATTTCCTTTTTTTAAGGCTGAATAATATTCCATTGTGTGACTATACCATATTTTCTTTATCCATTCATCTGTGAGTGGACATTTGGGTTGTTTCCATATCTTGGCTATTGTGAACAATGCCGCAATGAACATGGGAGTGCAGCTATCTCTGTTTTCATTTCCTTTTGGCTATATACCCAGAAGTGGGATTGCTGAGTCATATGGTAGTTCTATTTTTCATTTTTCTAGGAACCTCCTTACTGTGCTCCGCAGCAGCAGCACCATTTTACATTCTGACCAACAGTGTAGAAGGGTTCCAATTCCTCCACATCCTCACCGACACTTGTTATCTTCTGTTTTTTGACCACCTTAACACCTGCATGTCCTTTCCTCTTATCTGCACGCTATTTCCAGGTTGTTCTGGAGGGAAGCCTAACTAACCTGCGATCCCTACCTCATATCAGCACACTGAGGACAGAAACACCTCTTCTGTTTCCTGAAGTTGTCTTCTACCATATCTACCACTTTACGCAGAGTCCTTTCCTTAAAGATCTAGACTTTTCACCAGGCTGGAATTTTAAAGCACCAGCCAGCCAGCCTTGGTCTCTCAAGGGGCTGCTTCTGCTGACCCATCTCATGTGCTCCTGTTTAGAATTACCTCACCCCAGGAGCCCAGAAGTGATCTCAGAAGGTATGAAACACCTTTAAGGGACTTGTTTAAAAACCTTTTGTCTACATAAATTCAGAGCAAATAATAGCCTATTCCACAAATGTCATGAGGCCTTAGAGATTATCTCTTCCAATTACAGGCAAGACAACTAAAGCTCAGAGAGGTGAAATAAATTGTCCAAAAGCATGTAGCTACTTGATGACAGAACTAAATTTAGAATTTAAGTTTCTTGAAGACCCCTGCAATGCATTTTCAAATATATTATATTTCTATTCAAATTAGAAATACATAAGTAGTAATGAATTACTAATAAACACTTAATGAGTACTAGAAGGCAAAAGGTTCTGGGTTATGTGCTATGGAGGATACAAAAATGAATAAGATGCACTTCCCAGCCACTAGGGGCTCACAGCCTAGGAGAGGAGAGAGAAGGCACTACAATTCAAGGCAGCTTTCAAAAAACTGCACTATTTGAGATTAAGCAGTAAAAGGTTGGGAGAGATGAGAAAGGGAGTAATTTTGATTCCAGAGGTTTAGGAAACCCAGTGGAGAAGGCTTGTTTTGAGCTGAGCCTTGAAGGATGAGTAGAATTTTGATGGAGGGCGTTCTAGAGGAGCAGGACACAGCCACAGAGGCAGATGGGTTTCTGAGCTCTCCTCAGATTTCACTAGTTAATTAGGGAGGGTGGCATCTGAATTTTAGTGACTGGGTGCAAGGTTCGGCATTCTGGGCTGGGCTTAAAAATCTAGCCTCTGATCCATAGCCAAGAGTAGTATAGGCCACAGAGTTTACTGATTGCTCAAAAACCTAGATTGTCTGGGTTCATATCCCATCCCCATCACTTACTAGCAGTATGACTTTGTGCCTCTCTCTGCCTCAGTTTCCTCATCTGTAAAGTGGAGCTTATAATATTATCTACCTCATAAGCTTTTTGTGAGAATTAAGTTAGTCAATACAGGTAAAGTGCTTAGAACAATGTCTGGGATGCAGTAAGGGCTAGATAGGTGTTTGTTAAAACAGTCCAATCTGGCTGAACACAGTAGGTTGTTTCAGATCAAAGATTCTCTGTAGAGGCAGAGAAAAACTGTGAAGAGTCTCTACTCTGCTACTCAAATAAGAAGGAGAAGAAAAATACCTTAGTACCAAATTCTGTGATGAATTTACAAAAAAAATGCTTGGGGTAGAGTGTCCTTTGTCATTGCCCCAATCCCCTGTCTCACCTCTGCCAGCAGATCCCAGACACGTGAGGTGACCCCCTGTGATGCTCCTCACCCTAAGATGATGAGTTTGGCCTTACCCGGAATTACAGTCTGTTCTTAGTAATGCACTGAAATCACATGGGAGCTCGATTCTCCATGGCTCAGAATAGATCCTGACCTCGCTGTGGGCTCCCTGCGCTAATGGTTTCATGTATTCCAGATTGCATTACTACCAGGAATCGATTTTTCAGCTCTTTAAAAACAGCCTATTTTGGTCATCTTTCCCCTATTCTTAGAGATGTATTTATTTCCCAGAATGTGTAGTGACTCTTAGACAAAATAAATTCTGATTACTGAAGTGGAAGCAATCCAGTTGTCAGGGAAGCTGGAAGGTTTACCTTGGGAAATTCTTTTGTAGGTCAAAGCAAAGGAAATTTATTTCTCTAACTTGGAGGCCCAAAGCGAAACAAGCAATGTAAGATTCAACTGAAATTTGAGAACTTCTATAAACGATGTCAGGTATATAGAGCACTACAGTTTATACAGTGGCGCTATCCAATATGGTAGCCACTAGCCACATACAGCTATTAGGCACTTGAAATGTGGCCGAGGTGATTAAAGAAATGAATTTCTAATTTTATTTAATTTTAACTAATTTTAATTTAAAAACTAATATGAGTCAGTCACTAAAAAACTTTTTAAGTTTGGGAAAGTTGAGGGATATAAGTCTACTTAATCAACTATAGATATTATGTAATCTAAATACAGATCAAGTATATCTGATTAATATTTAGCATCCAAATTGAGATTTACTGTAAGTGTAAAATACACTGGATTCATAAACTTAGTATAAAAAAATGTAAAATAGCTCCTTAATACTTTTTTCATATTGATCACATGTTGAATTGATAATATTTTGGTTGTGTTGGGTCGAATAAAATATGTCATTAAAATTAAGTTCACTGGACTCTTCTTACTTTTATTTAATGTGGCTTAGAAAAATTTAAATTACTTTTGTGGCTCACATTATATTTCTATTGGACAGCACTATTACAGAGCAACACCAACCCATTTGTTCCTTACTACAGTCCCGTGACTTGGTCAAAACAGGTATTATTATCCCTGTTTAAAAGATATGGGAACAAAAGTTGAGGTAGTGGCAGCTCACCAAGCCTTGGAATGAGAGCCAGAGCCTGACTCCAGGGCTTCTGACTGAAATCCAGGGCCCTTCCAGTGCACTGTGTTAGTTTGAAACTACAGATGAAACATAAGAAAGGCCTCTTGGACTCTTAAACTCAACCTGTTAATTCTGAACCTAAGCAACGAAAGGGAGGCAAACAAGCCTTAAAAGAACAACATATCCTAAGCAAAGATCACAAGAGCATGCACACACACACAGACACTTGTA